GCTTTAACTCTTACGCTGTCTAAGCCGCGCATAGACTCCAAAATATTTTGTTGCAATCCTGCTTAGCAACGATTTGATTTTGGCGGGGAGTGAGCACTCCTTGGCTCTTGTGTGGGTTAAAAAGGATCAAAAGGATTAAGTCGAGCAACAATTTGCAGCAAAATAAAATTAAAATGCAAGAATAGTAAAAAAAGTGTGAGCAATCGAACTTGGTGAATTGTTTAAAAGCTGCAAAAAAATGCATTAATTTATAAAAGATTTGTCGAGAATAACTTTTCTTAACTTCCACAAAATTTAAGCGAAACAGAAATAGTATAGACTCCTGTTTCAATATTTTTATTTTATTATTATATTTTGGCCAGTTCTTGATCAGATTAGCCTGAAGACAACAAACTTTTGCGGAAATAGAGTTTTTTAATCAGCTTAGAAATAAATTGTATACAGAAGGGGCTCTTTAGGAAATTTTTAGAAGATATATTTGAAATTTAATGAGTTCGACAAATATATATTAAGTTATGCAACAGTTTTATGATCCACTCAACCGCAGATAAACAGCAAATAATAATTGGCCATTCGGAGGTTTTTTTCCACTTCTTCTTTTTTCCAAAAAAACAATACATTCGATGTCGTCCTTTTTTATGAGTTGACTGTTTAATGCTGAGAATGCTTCGATATACAACCGATTACTTATAAATATTTAAAGTTGGATTTCTTTTTAAGACCAGGAAATTCATTAATAGCTTTGATTACATCTCATAATACACGTATCTAAGCAATTTATCCCTACCTATACCCTATACCTTTTCAATAATAAATTTCATTTTATCCATTCTATTATTTATTTACATATATAGTTGAACAATTGAATAATTTATAATATTCATACATAAATAATTTCATTTTTCCCATTCTATTATTTATGTATATAATTTAACTGAATAATTTATAATATCCATGCATAATATTATAATAATTTATAATTTCATTTGTCCATTTTATTATTTATGTATATATTTTAACTGAATGATTTATAATATTTATACGTAAATAATATTTTTTAATATTTTAATATTTATGTATATAGTTAAACTGAATAATTTATAATATTTTAAATTCGTTTTTTTTTTTAAGTAAAGTATTTATATTAAATTCCCGAATTATTTCCGAATATAACCATTTCATGCCGAGAATAAGACTCTACTATGTATATTGATAAATTACATAATTTATTCTCTACCAAACATAAATAGAAATATAAAGCTGATTAAAAAACACTCTTGTTATTAACTATTTGTTGCCACAAAACCAAAAGCCACTCAAATGAAAATAAGTTGAAGTCCATCGAGAAAACTTGTACTTTAAAGCACATTTGATGTTTGACTTTTCAGATGTTAAAATGCTCTTTAAACTATTTGTAAACTGGAAATTAATATTGATTAATGAAGTATGTATGTTTATCTTGGTACACTCCCCAATTTTTTGACTAGAGCATTTGTTTATAAGAATCGTTCTTGTTGCACTAGGAACTTATAATAACTAAATAAATAAAACAAATAAATAAATAACTAAACAGTCCAGCTGGCAGACCCACAACATGTCCAAGTATCTTAGTCTTCCCTACACTAGATATCCTTGATCATCGCAGCTCAATTTATTGCTCAATTTGCCGGTTGAGTCGCAGCCAATCAGGCCAGAAACTCCAACATTCCCCCACAATTTCTCCCCCCACCCGGGGCCTGCCTGCTAATCGTTTCGATAACATGATTTACAAACACAGATACCTCGGGCAAACACAATAATTTACAATTATTGGAGAAGAAACATGAAATAGGCGCACAAAATATGATAATTGCTCTTCCACAGCGCCTTTTCTCACTTCATAATCTAACAGCAATATAATGCCGGCATTAATCTACTAACGATCATATTAATTATCATTTCGTTTACAAATCGCCACAGACAAGAAGACAAGCAGCAGCAGCAGCAGCACCAGGTTGGAGATAGAATTTCTTTTATAGAGAAAAAGGGAGAGACAGAGGCAGAGAGAGAGAGAGAGAGGGATCGCGGAAAGCGGACTATTTATGACATTGCCGGGTCTTGTTATTAATACGCCTCTGTATATGGGGCAGGGGCTGAAGGGAACTTGTTGATGATGCTCCCTTTTTCTCACATGTTTAGCTCAAAAGGCGCACTTAAGCCGCCACATTTACACACAAGCTGACACACACAAACAAGCACACACACACACGCACGCACACAGACACATACACATGTCGATTGATCAAAGACCTGATGCCGCATTTTCTTTCTCTCCAAGTGAAATTTGAAATGAAGACATCAACATACGAGCACTACGTCGGAAAATAGAAGCAGAAAGCCGAAAGCAGTTTGGAAAAAAATTAAACGTCTTAAACAACGCCTTCGCCCGCGCTATGAAAAGTGGCCGTTCGTTTCCATATTCCTAGCTCCCCGCTTGGTCACGCTGTTCGTGCTACACTCAGAGAAATAAATAGCCAGAATCGTTCTGAGATGTAGAAAATTGCGCTAATTATACAAGTTCTTTGAAGAGTTTCTGAAAGAGATTCTGAAATAGTTTCTGAGGCGGTTTGGGGAACAGTTTGAAAAACAGCTAAGAAAATAGTTTCTGGGAGAGTTTTTTAAGACAGTTTCTGAGACAGCTTTTGAAATAGTTTCCGAGGCAGTTTGAGAAACAGTTTAGAAAACAGCTAAGAAAATAGTTTCTGAGAGAGTTTCTAAAACAGTTTTTAAAATAATTTCTTAAACAGCTTGTGAGACAGTTTTTGAAATAGGTTTTGAAATAGTTTCTAAGGTAGTTTGGGAGACAGAGTTAGGAAACTGTTTAGAAAACAACTTAGAATATAGTTTCTGAGAGAGTTTCTAAACCAATTTCTTAAACAGCTTCTGAGATAATTTCTGAGACAGTTTTAGAGATAGTTTCTGAGGTAGTTTGGGAGACAGAGTTAGGAAACTATTTAGAAAACAACTTAGAAGATAGTTTCTGAGAGAGTTTTTAAGACATTTTTAAAATAAATTTATTAAAAGCAGCTTCTGAGACAGTTTCCAAGACAGTTTCTAAGATAGTTTTTAAAAAAGTTTCTGAAGTAGTTTGGGAGACAGAGTTAGGAAACTGTTTAGAAAACAACTCAGAAGATAGTTTCTGAGAGAGTTTCTAAACCAATTTCTTAAACAACTTCTGACACAGTTTCTGAGATAGTTTCTGAGGTAGTTTGGGAATAGAGAGACCACTTAGATGATTGTGACTGTTTCCCCCCAAAACTCCGACTCGATATGGATATGCGCTCCAAGCTGCTTTTAATTCCTATGAGCCGCAAAAGATAAACATATTATTGCTTTGATCTGTATTTTTCTGATAATATCATCCTTAAGGACACCATTTGATAAGAAATTGCAATTTTGCAGTTTCTTAAAATTCGAAAAACTTGAAATTAAAACTTTGTTTTTTAAAAATTAGAGCTACATAATAATAATTTCATTTCTTTATAAATTCTCTTAGATCTACGCTCATTATAAGTTTTTAGAACATTTGTTTTTCCCAGTGTAAGATCTCATCTTTCAATGTTTGTCGTGTTTTCGTTTTCGTTTCGTTTTCTACCTCGCCAGTTGTTTGGCATATTAGTTGAAAAATTGTATAACAAAAGTTAAAGAAAGGCACAGAAGTGTGCTGCGCAGACAATAGATAGTCGGACGGCACAGCACAGCATACCATTCCCAACACCCAATACCCTATATACGCTATCCAGGCATGGGACATATCCCTAGCTTGTACCTGCAGTGCACAGCTGGAGTTGTCACTGAGAGCATGTAAAGAGCCAGAAATTGAAACAAGGTCCAAAGGCGGCAAAAGACTAACTGTGTTTGCTCTTTTCCTTATTGCTGTTTTTGTTGTTATTCCAACTCACTATTTTCATCTTTGCCGCAGACAGACAACACATAATTAAGTCATTTGGAAAGAAGAGGGGAAACAGCTGAAAAATTACTCATCAAACTCAAATCTCAAAACAAGTCTAAAAAATGTGTGGAAAAGGAGTAAAGTTTTAAAAAAATACACTTTTCTCGAAACATTTTTTAAAAATGCATTGATTTATTTACAAAATATTTCAACTATAAAAAACACAACAAAATATTTTCGAAAAATTTACTTTAATTCAAAAATATTTAAAAATATTATTATATCTCGAGAAAGTCAATTGATCGAGGAATTTCTAAACCATAAAAGGAATGTAATAGAAGTCGAATATTCCGTCAAGGGGTTTGGAGACCTAACCTCACTTTTGAGATGGGTGCACCTGTAATGTAATGCTCTAGATACAAATCGAAATCTAAGAAAAAAAATTTATAGAAAAAATATATAAATCTTAAAAAAATTTCTTGAAACTAAAGTTGTTTTTGACTGAAAACATAAATAAGTAATTTTATTCTGAAACTATAATTGTTTAATTATTTCTTGCATTTGATTTAAAAAAAGAGGTGGAAAATCTCTCACATCGTTTTCAAATCAATTTGTTTTTAGTTTGATTGTTTTCTATATTTTCTTCAATATATATATTTTTTTTTAACCTTAGATCTGAAAGAGAATTTCTAGTGCAATAAAAAATAAAGACTATTGTTTGTTTTTTGTTTGATTTTAAATGCATTTTATTTGTTAACAATGTGCAGAATATTTTTGTAAAATATTTTTGTTTTTAGTTGCAACAACTACTAGCCCCCCTCCAGAGTAGAGCACCAGACTTTAGGGCCCGCCTCTAGTGCCTGTGCGCGCCGATGCTGGCCCGATTGAACTTTCTAAGTGAGTTCCTGCCAAAGGCCGCCTCCTGGAATTTCCCCAAAACTATTGCATTTTGGACGTCAGTGGTGCTAGTGGCTTGTAGCTTGTGGCTTGGGAGGGGCTGTGTTGGCTGAACCTTGTCCCGTTATACCAAAAAAAGAAAGCGCTGAGCGCCGTTTCTCAGCCTCCAGATCTAGCTAGCGGGGAATTTGCCAAAGAACTGCATGCGCTGGAAGAGCTCGGCATTCATGTGCGGTGCATAGCCCTGCAGCGGATGCTGGGGATGCTGGGGATGTTGGGGAGCGGCGGCTGCCTGAGCCTGGGCCTGGGCCTGAGCGTAGTGCAGTTGTTGTTGTGGATAGCCAGCGGCAACGGCGGCGGCGGCAGCGGCAGCCTGATAGGCAGCTGGATTCATGCGCTGGTAGAGAGCAGCGGCGGCGGCAGCAGCGCCAGCGAAGGGCGCCATGCCACCATAGTAGGGACCGGCGGGGCCATAGCCAGCGCCCAGCATGGGCGAGAATATGGCCTGGCGGTAGGCGGCCAGACGAGTGCGACTGGCGCCGGGATTCTTGCGACGCAGCTTGCCGGTGGTCTCGCCAATGAAAACCTCCTCGGCCGAGGGGTCCAGAATCCAGTAGTTGCCCTTGCCGGGATCGTCGTAGCTGCGCGGTATCTTCGTGAAGCATTTGTTCAGACTCAGATTGTGGCGGATGGAGTTCTGCCAGCCGCGCTTGTTCGCCTTGAAATAGGGGAAGCGATTGATGAGGTACTGATAGATGCCGTTCAGCGTTAGGCGCTGCTCGGGACTGTCCTGTATGGCCATCATGATGAGGGCATTGTAGCTGTAGGGCGGCTTCTTGTTATCGCCACCAGAGTTGGTTTTCTGCTTCTTGCTGCTGGGCTCGCTGCCATCGCTGTCCAATTCAGCTTCATCCAACGGCTCATCATCGTCATCGTATTCCACATCCAGTTTGTCATCATTGTTGTTGCTATTGGAGCTCAAAGACTCGGCAGCGCTGCTCATAGGTGTGCTGGTGCGTGAGGGCGTATCGAAATCTTCGGAGGCGCTCAGCTCACCATCGGAATTGGCATATGGATGTGGCAGATAGGCAGGCTGTTGGTGTTGTTGTTGTTGTTGCAGTTGCTGGTGATGATGCAGATGATGATGATGATGCTGTGGCATAGTTTGGTAGCAAAGCGGCTCCTGTTTAATGTACTGCTGTTGTTGTTGCTGCTGGTGCTGTGTGGCTGGTTTCTTAGCCAGTATGGCATCGATGGAGAAATTGCTTTTGAACTCCATTTCGCAAACACTTTTCACCATTTTTGTGCAAGTTTATTTGTTATTGTTTTAGTCAAAACTGTTCTTGAAATTTGCTTAGTTCTTCTTCTTTCTTAATTTACTTTCTTGATCTTCACTCGGAGAGACTTGAACGAGCTGTGCACGTTGCGAAGCGTAACTCAATACTGACTCACTGTGGGCACAGCTCAGGCTATTTATAGTGCAACCCTCCTGCCGTCACCGCTCTGCGCACAAAAGTCTACACAAAAACTCGCACAAACACACAGAGGCACACACAAAGGGTCCACCATGCGCAGGCGCTGCATAGAAACCAATATCAGCATGTAGGTAGTTGGCTGCCAAACAGACTCCGCCTTAATCGCCTACTTAGCTCGCACACACACACACACACAAACACACAATGTGTAACCACCACTTGGTACCATTTTGTTCCACTTGCCTTCCACACTCACTCACATGCACGCTCTCTCCCTCTCTCTCTCACGCTGCAGAGAGCGCGCTCTGTATATGTTTGTTTTCTTGTTTTTCCAGTTTGTAGAGACTGTTTAGTGGAGTGTGTGTGTGTGTGTGTTTGGACTTGTGGATGTTTATTTGCAGCATTTTCGTTGCTTCGGCGTCAAAATATCTATTACATCCAATCCAAACAGGGGTGGCTTACGCTCATGCTCGGCTCGGCTTGTTGTAGGCTGGCCACTAAAATATTGAAAAATATTGAAATTGATTTTGCCATCCACCGCAGCACTTCCTAACGCTGCTGAGTTGTTTTGATGTCGCTTGTTGTTTTTATAATTGCGTTTACAGCAGCAACAACAACAAGAACTACAACTACCCCCATCATAATCACCCTTCCCACTACACACTCGTATGTACAAGCACTGTACATATAATCGATGCCCTGATTAACCATAAATTATAAATTCGTGGAATATTTTCGTGCTCTAATCCACGAAACTAGTTCAAGCCGTTGGCTCTTCGGGATTACTTTTACTTGCCACGTAAATCCACATTGGCTTAACATTTTGGCTATGACGATTAAATTATAATTGTGTGTGTGTGTGATTTTCGCAGCTCAATGGAGCTCAAGTGACAGGTAATCCCTGGACTGAAAGGGTTAAGCGTGTGCGCGTTATTCTTAGGATTTCTGCTAGTTTCGCGAACACAAATCTGTCGCGCATTAGTCTGGCCTGATTTCTGATTCCTAGGAATTGAGTCCAAATAAACATTTGGATTGCAGCCAAGCTGAAGCCGACTTCAGATCAGTTAGTGAGTGTTTTGAGATTTGACAGGGGTTTGTATATATGGATCGTATGGATAAGCAAACTAGATGCTATAACTTTATAAGCCAAGGATTTTTGATGAAATAGACTAAAATTTAAAAAAATTGCTTTGTTATATTTAGGAGGGCCAGTCGTTCCCAATAATATTTACTAACAAACTGAACGCAAGCCATATTATAAGTTTTAAGATAGTACATGTGTTATACTAAGATATAAATTACTTTAAAAATTTGTTGTTTTTTTCGGAAGTTGACTAGAGTTTGCAACTTTTAGGTTAAAAAAGGATATTTAGAAATATATTCTAGACATATTAAATATAAACAACATAGAAATATTTTAGAAAGATAAACAAATAACCAGTCTTTTATCTTGAATGCCTTCTCTGTCTGCCTGCCTAAAAGTCCTTCTCTCTGCTTTTAGTTGTAAAATCAATCAACAGTCAATATACTCGTACAGCTCTCCTTAATTCACTTTATTGGACTGTCGTATTATATCTTTCTTAGATGGACCTCCTAAAAGATTTTTTTTCCATAATACTATTCAATAAACAATGCATTTCTTGATTTATTTTTCTACAACAGACATATTGCTTTTCTTTTGTAAAAGGAAATTTTCCCCAAAAGGATTGCATTTTCTTCAAAAAAAAAAAAAAAAACCCCCCTCTGGAATGTTATCAAAACAAATGCAACTCCCAGTAATTAGGGAGGGATGTTTGGAATAAGTTATGAGTAGGATGAAAAAATGTGTGTTAGGGATATTTGGAATAAGTTATGAGTAGGATGAAAAAATGTATTTTAGGGGACTTAAATTGGCAAAAACTAAATAGGGCATACCTATGTATATAGAAAACCCGCCAAAAATTAGTCTTAAGCTGCTGGAGTAAGCACTTTCCAGAAACTCTGCATTTCGCGCCTTAGCTTTTAAAGGGTTACTTGATTTTTACCTGCGGGCTGCATAATGCAACGCCTGATCCGGCAAATCCGTGTCATAAAGCCACTATAAAGTGAAGTGCAGGCATAACATACAGATGCTGGTGTCGATGTCGATGCCTTTGGCTAAAACCAGGATTCATTCAAAGCTGGGATTGAAGGGAGATTTATCAATAGGCCAAGATTGGGCGAGACTTTAGAGCTTGGGTTTCTATCTTGGGTTGCATTCGATGCATAAAAAATCGGTTAATGCCGAGCATCAGAAGGCGGCAAAGCGATCGATCATGGCCATTGTTGTGTGTGCATTCAAAAAGGGAAATTGGGCAGAAAGGCGAGACGCGGACAAAAAGGACTGAGTGCGAGTGGGCGAACGGCTGCCGAGAGCGCGACAAATGCAACGAATGTCCTTTATGTCCTGCTGTTGACAGTCAGCGTTCAGCGTAGCCGGCCATTGGCAATTCCCGTTCGACTGACTGTCGTTGACAGGCACACGGACACTGGACAGGACACTGAACAGGACACTGGATAGGACACAGAGTGCAGTGCAAATGTCGCACATTACGATCAATTATGAGACTCAATGCACTCCAGCAGTGGAACGAAAGGACGCAAGTTTCTCCGATTTCTGCGAGGCTTGACAAAATCTTGTGGCGTTAATTCAAAATTATATGCACATTGTTTGTGGCCACGGTGCTACGTGGAATTCGCTTATGTTTTTTAATGAGGCAGGCCGTGGCATTCTTGAGGCGTGCTGGCCAAGCGTGAACCTCAACGTCTCTGCCTTCCAAGTGTGGTCTGGCAATGAAACCATAATGTACATAATGTACACCCACAGGCGGTGGTTACGCGCAACGTGGCAGAAATAATGCCAAATCATGGTCGATGCCACACCAAAAAGGGACACCAACGCTAATCACTAATCAGTGACACATTTGCCAGAAACTCTATGCCTGATTAAGCGAGCAAACGCGATTTTCCACCACAAAATAACACCTTTCCCTAACATACTTATAAGGAGGTCTGTTTTCGATTTCAGCAACAACATAAAATTCCTAGTAAAAATACATTTTATTCACTCGCTTGGTGCTTTAATGTTTATCCATTGCGACACAATTAAAATAATGTACAAAACATATATATTAAGATTTTTATAGAATTCTATATAATATAATAAGACTAGCTTCATAATTCCTCTGGCAAGTTTTCTAATACGAGAGGGCAGTGCAACAATTATTTGCAAAATAAATTAGAATAAGATTTGATTAATTTTTGTTAGTCCCTTGAAAAATAAATTAATTAAAATTTTTTTTAAAAGTGGATTTTTATAATAACATAAATAAAGACGAATTTAAAACATGCCATCGATTTACTATAATTCTATCCATATAAATAAATTTATTGTACCCAATTATTACTTAAATATAAACTCCACCTTGATCTGATATAAATTCTATTAAAAATTTTTGAATATTATTATTCTTATAAAATATTCTGATAACGACGGTATATAAATTGAATAACAAATTTAAGTAAGGTCCATCATGGATTATCGATTATAAAACAGGTTCCTCTGGATAGTCTAAAATACCGCCAAATTGTTTAGGTTTCAAGAACACCTTTTGTTTAAATCTTTCCAAATAAAATACCTTAGTGCTAAACTATAGTATTTTTCTTAGCATAGCTTAAGAAATATAAAAATATTTTGGGAGTTGCTTCCCATGAATAACCTGCAAACATCCCAGACCTCCATGCTTTTGAGAATGTTTTCGTCCATTATAAAGGAAATAATAACCCGAATGAGATTGAAAAATAGAAAGAAAACATATATAATATTTAATTTAATTAGTTTAATGAAATTTCACAAGAACTGATATATTAAATATTTTATAAAAGCAAGGGTCACAACCATTAATAACTTAAAAAATAATAATAATTATAATAATTACTTTAAAGAAATAATTTTTATAATTAATAAGAAATTAAATAAAATTTAGGAAAAGTACAAAGCATAATAATAAGTAAAAAATAATAATAATTATTATTACTTAAAAATAATAGTTTTTATAATTAATAAGAAATTAAATAAATTTTAGGAAAAGTACAAAGCACAATAATAAGTTTTGTTTGCTTTATTTAACTTGAAGTCTATTGATATTTTTATTAAGTTTAAGCAATATTTTGTTTTTTGAAAATATATTGAACGGTTCAGTTATATATAGTATAATTATATAAAAGTATACATCAGGCTTTGAATAGAACACTCTAATTCAACTACTCAGGAACCTGTTTCCACAACAATCGAACTTTTTCTTAAAAATTTTACAACTCTACGAGCAATCAGAACACAAGTCCTTGGTAATATATATGCCCCTTCTATCCCTATCAACACCCCAAGATATTGAATTAATTTTGAACTTCTTACAACTAAAAAGCGTTTAAAAGTTTCGTCCCAACCAATTAAACTCTATTAGTTCCTGCTGCTAACTCTATTTCAATAATAATAACACCAATTGTAATAAACACCAAAACTTTATTTAGCTATTGAAGTCGCCGAATGGCAATATATCCTTCCTCTGCCTGCACCCGACTGAGTGTGTGTGTGTGGTTGGACTAACTTTTCGCTTAGCGACTCCTTAAAATCAATTAGTTTTGTCATGGCTGTCAAAACGCATAATCGGAAATCTTTAGGGGTTCGCAGCAATTCTGGTGGTCCTAGGCAAATCCTTTTGGTAGCCAAATGCCAAAATGCTGGCGGCTTGCTTGCTTTGAAGCGATTGAGATATTAGTAGTCATGGTATTTGCAAATTTTCAACTC